CAGTGAATTAATTTCGATCTCATTTTAGCAAGGACAGCTATGATTATTTTAATCAAGTAGAGTTTGTTTTGGGTTTGTTTTATTTTCAGTTCAGAAAAATTTTCAGATATTCACATACAGTCATACACCTACACATAAAGTAATAAATAATATATTCATAAATACCAAACTGATTGCAGACTGATTTTCTAAGTTGCACCAATGTCAAAGTAAATGTGATACCGTAATAGGGGCCTTAAAAATGAATGAGGTAGGACAGACTCAGATCAGGCGTTCAATCTGACATCATTCTTTATATGTAAATTAAATCCATGGTATTACAAGCTTAAAGATAAGGGAAAGAAATAATCACTCAGCCTCTTTGTCAAAGACATCGAGGCCCTGCTAAGGGTGTAGGTCTTAAGAGTGTTATACTTACCTAGAGCCTGTTTCCTCTGTCCCTAGATTTATGACCCCAGCAACAATCGGTATGAAGTCCCAGTCCCTCTCAACGTACCCAGGGTTCCATCCAGCACCTCCGAGGGCCAACTCTATGATGTCCTCATTAAGAAGAATCCATTTGGGATTGAAATCCGCCGGAAGAGTACGGGCACCGCAATGTAAATGGCCCTGGTTGGGGTGGGAATCAATGGTCCCTGCACGGCCATTGCTCGGCCCATTGTCCTTGGAGGTGCCCTGGTCAAAGCATCACACTATCCATTTCCAGATTCATGAATAAGTTATTTCCTTTGGGTCTGTTCTGTCAAGAAATCTTTAGCCCTGTGGGAATAATTACTGGGGTAGTCGCATGTACTTAGGGATTCACTCAACAAGTGTTTGTCAAGTGCCTGTATTATGTGGTTATAGAAGATGAAGTCTCTCTTCTCAGGATAAAAGAATCATAATAATGAGTAAATAGCAAAGAGGATTTAAGTTGAAATATAGATAAAGATGGTCAGAGAGTGAGAGTTGTTATGGAGGAGAAAGAGCAGGTGATTGAGAGTTGTGGGAGACTGTTACTTTGTGAGCTGTGGTCAGTCGGTCTCTCCAAAGAGGCGGCATTGGAAATAGGTCCCGGGCGAGGAGAATGAGCTTCCTGTGTGGAGGTTGGCGGGGTGGGGCTGGGGAGGGGTGGGAAGAACATTTTGGGCAGGTGGACTAGAGCGTGCACGGGCACAAATCAGGAGCAAACTTGCATATTAAAGGGGGAAAGATGTCGAACGTGGGGGAGCAGCATAGTAAGTGGGGAGGAGGCTGATGGAAGAGGCGACGCTGGTGGGTTTGGCCTTGAAGGCGTCATGAGGGGTCACTGAAGAATTATGAACAAGGTAATGACATGATATGAGATAACTTTAAAAAATATCCCTCTGGCAGCTTTGTAGCGAATGGACGGTGGGGAGCACAAGCGGAATCTGGGGCTGGCAGGGGTCGTAGCCGCCGAGGTGGTACAGTGCTTAGATGGAGCATACTGGAGACAGTGACAGAGGAGAACAGAGGGTGAAGCTGGCTCCTGGGCTTTTAGCGCCTATGATGATGTTACTCACGTTAGAGTTTGCGTTTCATTTGGAAGATGAACAGGGCTCTGGGCGCGGGTGAGGGAATCCATAGTTCTGTTGTCCTTGAAAACTCAGCTGCTTGAAGCCAATGGCACAGCCCATTTCCACCCCCAATTACACCCTTCTGCGCTGCAGTTGGGATTCTCAGCTCCTTGGCTTCACGTTCAACGACATGTTCATCCGCATCTCCACCCGCCTTCCCTCCCGGCACATCTATGGCTTTGGAGAAACCGAGCACACAGCGTACCGACGGGACTTGAACTGGCACACGTGGGGCATGTTTTCCCGAGACCAGCCCCCGGGGGTAAGGCGGCGCGTCCGGGGTCTGTGTCACTGCCCCTCCCAACCCACACCGTGAGCCCTCGCTGCTTCCCCTCCCCTGCCTCCTCTTGGGTGGCCCCGCTCCGCTTTTAGACAAGTGGGCCAGTTCTCAGGCTCCTTAGTTTCTCCTGCATTTATTTCATAGAGGAGACCAGACACATCTTATCGATCAATTTTTGTCGAGTTGCTTTCTCAGCCACAATGTCTTTCAACCTCCTACCACTTCTTCCCATGACTCTCCCAGTACAAGAAGAATTCCTACGGCGTCCACCCCTACTACCTGGCACTGGAGGAGGATGGCAGTGCCCACGGAGTGCTCTTGCTGAACAGCAATGCCATGGGTAAGACAGAGGCGCCTCCCGTTGTGTGAACCAGTCATTCCTGAGGATCTTCATTATTATCTTGTGGGTAGTCTTTTCCCTCTTTTTATTTCTGTTTAGCCTTTCTGTTTATTTCCATCCAGTAACATGTGGCAACAAGAATTAACTCTTATTTGGCAAAATTTATGTAAGAGGACATAGCAAAATCAGGCAGGTCTCAAATATCCTGGCGGTCAGCCAGTGAGCGCCGTCTGTACAGTCTGAGTTAGTGATGAAGCTATGGGTCAGAACACTCACTCTGGGGTATGAGGAGGTGAAGGAAATTTGTATGGTATATGGGAAAAGAGGTGGAAAATCAGGAAGTGGAGGAAAAAGCGTGCCTGTGAAAGCGGTGACATCTGAGGAAGGTCCGTACCTGTGTCGACGGTACTGTGTCAGTGGCAGTTTCTTGGATTTGACCACGCACAGTGGTTATTATGTAACATGTTATCAGTGGGGGGAGCTGAGTGAAATGTACGAGGGGATCCTTGGTGCTATTTTTGCAACTTCTCGTCATTAGTAAACTATTCTAAAATAAAAGTTATGATAATTAAAAAGAGCATAATTACAAAACATATAACAAGATAATAAAGCACAACAAAGGGGGAAAAATCCAGAGATGGGACCTTGCGGACTTTCCCTTAACTTCATCAATTTGGTGTAGATTTAGTACAAAACACTTTCCATATGGAGGCATAGGAAGAGGGAGAAGGTTTGCATTTCAGGGATAATTCCTCACATTAAAGGGCTCTTGATTGATTTATTTTCCCGCATTTTCAGATGTGACATTCCAGCCCACGCCTGCCCTGACATACTGTACCACAGGAGGAGTTCTGGACTTTTATGTGTTCTTGGGGCCAACTCCAGAGCTTGTCACTCAGCAGTACACTGAGGTAGGAGGACATTCAGTTGGTTACCAAGTATTTATACGGTATATAGTGTTCCAAACCCACGTTTATTAGTATAGTTCTCAGATGAGAGCTGGAATTGTTGGTCTTACTGGGAGACAGGAAGATTACAGAATAAGGAAGAATAAATACATCCCAGTCATCATTAAATTTATAGTCTCTCAAAGCATTGCAGGATAGCAGAATGAATAGTGGTGCCTTTGGTGGTCGTGGCAGTGGCAATGGTGATGGTGGTGATGGTGGTGATGGTGCACCAAGTGCTATTATTATCCCCAATCTACAAGTGAAAAAATCGATGCACAAGAGGTTATTTAATGTTTTGCCCAGGGTCACATAGCCATCGGGGATGGGAGCTTGCATGGTAACCCAGGCATTTTGCCTCTAGGTTCCGTGTTCTTTACCAGTAAGCTAGACTGCTTCTAAGAGTCAGAGTAAACTGATTTTCCAAAACCCTTGGGGAAGGAGGTCAAGACTAGCAGGAAGCTTTCTCCCAGGTATCCCTGTGGCTCTGTGCCTTCTCAGTTTCTCTCTGGCTTTGAATTTGTTGGTTGTCTAACTTGGGGCATAGGAAAAGTATTTTTATTACTCTGTGTACAACTTCCATTCTGATTCCCCTTATTAACAACTAATGTTTTGTGTCTGTTTTCTAGTTGATTGGTCGTCCAGTGATGGTTCCTTACTGGGCCTTAGGGTTCCAACTGTGTCGCTATGGATACCAGAATGACTCTGAGATTGCCAGCTTGTATGACGAGATGGTGGCTGCCCAGATCCCCTATGTATGTCCTCAATCTGGGGTGTATTGGTTCTGGGACCTCATAGCCAGCCCCCGCTGTCTGTGTATCTGGATGCGTTTGTCTGATTTTTTTTGTGGGGCTCTGTAAAGTTACAAAGTGCTTTCTTATACAATATCACACTGACCTCATCCCAGCCCAGCAGTACAGGTGGGGATCATGGTCTGCATCTTAGAGTCACAGCGATCTACAGGAGGAGGAGGACATCGGGCCAGCTCCAGGGCTCTTTCTGCTGGAGCATACTCCCATGTCTTTGACATGACTTCAGAACGCTTAGTCAAAACCATCCTTGGTTCCATAAGAATAAGAGGTTCCACAAACAGTGGTATTGTTTAATTAAAAAAAAAAAAATCAGTCCAAATTCAGACAGACCATGGTGTATGTAGACATAGCTCCACTTCCAACCCTTTGCTGGCACTGCAGCATGGTGCGCCCTCGGCTTCGGGCTAATCCCGAGTGGAATGTAGGGGTGTGGGGACTGGTTTCCAGAGGAAATGCCTATGGAAGCAAACCCTGTCCTGTCCTTCACTGGACCACAAGAGGGGTCCAATAATCAGAGATCGATCCCGTGAGTCATTTACATATTTTAGTCTGTTTATGTTTCTGTTGTTTACAATCGTTTCTACTGACAGAAAGTATAGCCTGGAATATTTCATTCTTAACAAGAAAGCTGTGTTTAACAACCCTCGGGACTGGAGAGTCCAAAGCAATTGCACGTTTTGTTTTGGTTTGGTTTCGGTAGATTTACCGCCCGTGTTGCGGTAGTCTTAGGTAATTTACATTATGCTGTTTTCCGCTGTGAGCAGGGGCAGCAGGTGTTACCACAGTCAGGTCTTACGTTCGCCGTTTACAAGGCCCTCTTTTATCCACTATTTCCATCTGTCCTCACGACAGCCCTGCCAGACAGACATTATCAGCCTATATTTTGCTAATTTCGTTTTTTTCTATTTTATGAAGGAAAATTAGAAAGTTAGGTAAATTTCCCCGAACCTAGTACCTACCAGATAACAGCTGGGATTTGAAAGAATTACAAAGAAGATGTCTGCAGTTCACCACCAGTCGGGCTGGTGGGGTGGGGTGGGATGGGGTGGTGTTCTCCTCCAGAAGCTGCTGGACTTCTGTGACAGCAGTCACTCGGTGTCCTTGTGTGTTCTCCCAGGACGTGCAGTACTCGGACATTGACTACATGGAGCGACAGCTGGACTTCACCCTCAGCCCCAAGTTCGCTGGGTTTCCAGCCCTGATCGCTCGCATGAAGGCCGACGGGATGCGGGTCATCCTCATTCTGGTTCGTCCCCCTGTGAATGGCGCGTCTGTTTGGGACAGCGAATGGGCTTGGGTGGAGAAAACCTTGCTTGATAAACTGAGTTTCCTTCCTTGCGAAGCTCAAGTTCAAAAAGAAAAGTGTGTTTCCCAGAATTCACAGAAGCTCTACAGTTCAGGTGGAAGCTAGAACCTTCCTTCCCTTTTCGAAGAGTTCTTTTTGTCATTTGTTTTGCTTTTTTTGTCCCCTGTCATTCTCTGGCTTGGGTTTGCTCGCCTGACCTGTGCTTTGATCTTAGGACCCGGCCATTTCCGGAAACGAGACCCAGCCCTACCTTGCGTTCACTCGGGGTGTGGAGGGTGACGTCTTCATCAAAGCCCCGGCTGGCGGAGGCATCGTCTGGGGAAAGGTCTGATCCCACCCGAGTGGTGACCCGCCGGTCCCCAGGCTGGGGATGGGCAAGTGTTAGGGGGGTTCGTGTGTGTTGTTTTCCGGTCTGTTCCGTGCGGGCTCTGAGGTCAGATGCTCACATGTTCTCCGTATCTGTTAACGCAGTTAAGGAAGTTTTAAGGAATGTAGGTGCATTTGTGGGATCTACTTTTCTCTAGATCAGTCCTACGTGAAAGTCAAAGTATTATCACCCCTAAAACCGTGGTTTGTAGTGTCTTAGGAAATACTGTGTAAGAAATTATCTAGTTCACCGCTTTTGAACAATTTTCTCTCCTCAGGTCTGGCCCGATTTTCCTGACGTCGTGATAAATGGGTCTCTAGACTGGGAGAGCCAGGTGGAGGTAAAGTGGCCTTTGTGGGTGGGAGAAGTCAGGGTTACCGGGAAGGCGCAGCCACACTCAGCACGCTGGGCAGCCCCGTGTCATGGGCAAGGGTGTGGACACACTTAAGGACTATGTCCTGTGTGGTCATCTCTGTGCCAGTTACTTTCCATGTAATATTTCACTCCCAATTGAGAGATAGATGTTATTATCTTCAGCATAACCAAGACTCAATGAGCTTACCATTCTGGTCTCGGTTTTAGGTGACAGTGTTGAGGCTTTGAGATTCCAAAGACCCATGAAATTTCCACTGGATGATGCCTCGAGGAATTTATCTTTTCTCGAAATCAGTATATTTGTTGTTCTTTTTGTTGTTGTTATTGCTTTGAGTAGCCCTTCTATTTATTTATTTATTTTTGAATATCCCTTTTAAACAGACTCTCCCTCCGCCCGTCTTTAGTGGTTGGGCCTTTTTCTCTGTGCATCCTTTCCCTGTGGACTAACCCCCCTTCCTTTCTTGGGGTTCTCAGCTTTGCTCTTACCTCTCAGTTTCCAGGCTTAGTTAAAGCTCACTCTCTCCCGGGAACAGGTTTCCACTTGTAATGAATCTCAGATAAGGAGTCAAGGGAGAGGACGAGCTTCCTGTTCTCCCTGTTACTTCTCACAGATCACTTGAAGTTTGGTGGTCCACATGTACTCAGGAATCTGCCAGGCCAGAGAAGTTCAGGGTTACAGGCTCCTTGACTTTTATTTACTTTCTTCTTAGTCTATCTCCACTAGCTTAGTTGAAATATAATTGACAAATAAAATTTTACATATTTAAAGTACACAATGTGATGATCTGATATACATACATATCATGAAATGATTACCACAATTAAGTTGACGCATCTGTCACCTCGTATCATATCACCATTTGTGTGTATGTGTGTGGTGGGGGGGCGTGTGAGAATACTTAAAATCTACTCTCTTAGTAACTTTTAACTGTATGATACAGTGTTATGAACTATGGTCGCCATGCTGTACATTACATCCCGAGAACTTATTTATCTCACAGATGAAGGCTCGCACCCTTTACCAGCATTTTCCCATTTCCCCCACTGCCTGGCTCCTGGTAATCACCATCCTACTGTCTGTTCCTATGAGTTCAACTTGTTTTTAAGATTCTACATATAAGTGAGATCATACAGTATTTGTCTTTGTCTGGCTTATTTTACTTAGCATAATGTCTTCTAAGTTCATCCATGTAGTCACAAATGGCAAGATTTTCTTCTTTATAGCTGAATATTCTTTGTGTGTGTGTGTATATCTATATATGTGATATATGTGTGTGTATCATATTTTCTTTATCCATTCATTCATCGATGGACACTGAAGTTGTTTCCATATCTTGGCTGTCATATAGTCTGACAATGAAAACAGGAGTGCAGAGATATCTCTTCAAGATCACTGATTGTATTTCCTTCGGGATATATATGCAGAAGTGGCATTGCCGGCTCATATGGTAGCTCTACTTCACTATTTTCAGGAACCTCCATAGTGTTTTCCATAGCGGCTGTACCAGTTTACATTCTCACCAGCAGTGTACGAGGGGTCACTTCAATCCACATTCTCACTAACACTTGTAATCTCTTGTCTTTCTGACAAAAGCTATCCTAACAGGTGTGAGATAATATTTCATTGTTATTTTGGTTTGCATTTCCTTAATGATTGGTGATGTCGAGTATCTTTTCATGTACCTCTTGGCCATTTATATGTCTCCTTTGGAAATTTGTCTACTCAGGTCCTTTGTCTATCTTTTAAGCAGTTTATTATTATTATTTTTTAAATGACTCAGACATTGCTGGTATTGATCTGTTTATTCTAATCCTCCATCTCCCTCCCTTCCCCCAACTTGCTTGACCTGGGGATCTCCATTTTCAGTAAAAGGTTCTCTTCTTCTTTTTTTATGTTTATACCTCTATTTTTTATTCGAAAAAGGCATTCCTAGCATGCCTTCCTCGCAAGATTTTCCTGAAGTGGCTCACTACCCTTTCATCTCTCTGTGAGCCAAACCCTGTATACCAATCTGTTTCTGTTTTCTTCTTTGTGGTCCTTTTTTGCCTTCTATCCAGACATATGGTTTCCTCCTTGCCTTTGTCTATTGTATATAAGAGCTGGAGGTTCCCTAGACCAAGTCTCTTTTCTGTTGTCCCCCCTGCCCGTGCCCCCAGCATTATTTTTAACTCTTGTATTGAGCTCATGAACATACAGGAACCTATTTGCTGAGATGTACAAAGGACTATAAAGTTCCATCATAAGCAACATGGCCTGTATAGAAATGTGTGAATATTTGCTGCTGCTAAGTGGCGTGAGTTCACAGTTATGCACTGAGGTTTTACTTTATGCCAGGTTCTAAGCTAAGCACTGTGGGGGAATACAGAGATTGACAGAAGAACATTAAACAAGGTCCTTGCTCTCAGAAAGCTTACAATACATTTAAGGAGTTATACCATGGGTCTGTTTTCAAGGTTAAAATAAAGACATGACTTTTATTATTTGAGGAAATTAAAGGGAGGAGGAGTTGAAACTTCCTCCTTAAGTCTTCCCAACTTACTTGACAGTTTTCAAGTGATTCTGAAACCATGGAAAACACAGATGCATAGTAGTCTAATAAAACAAAGTGCAGGCTTATCTCTCACCCCCTTCCTCCAGTGGGAATGAGAGAGGAGAGAATCACCGGGACGTTTCCTTCCAGCCTGTTGACAAGGCATCTGACGTCTGCCCCTTTCAGGTTTTAGTTTCTCCCTGGCTCATGCTTCCTCTTTGAGGAGTGTTAGGAAATTGCAGGACGCAAGTGACAGTTGGGCATCTGATACATGCGATAATGATCCACTGTTTGTGTGGAGAGGAAATCAATCTATGGATTCTTTCCAAGTGCTAAGAAGCGTCTGCTTTGTGCTAACTTCTCTTCTCTGCACAATTGTGTTTCAAATAGGCCAAGAGCATAGGCTGTGTTTGGATTATCTATCACCATGCAGTACAAGGCGTTGCATGAGTTAAACTCTCAGTAAAGCCTGTTTGCTGTCTATTTGAGACGAAAAATTATATTTAATTTTTACAGCGATACCGAGCTTACGTGGCCTTCCCAGACTTTTTCCGTAATTCAACTGCCACCTGGTGGAAGAGGGAGTTGAGAGAACTATACACCAATCCCTGGGAGCCGGAGAAGAGTTTGAAGTTTGATGGCATATGGATTGTGAGTGTGTGTGTTTGTGTCCGTGTACATGTGGATAGGTGTGTGTCCATTTTTGTGTGTCGAAGCATATCTGTCACAGACCTTTAATCAAGAGAGATAATAATTGCCCTAGAGAGACTTTGGATGTATCGGACTGCAGTTCCTCCTCTCAGGAGACCTTGTACTTTTTACCTCATTTCCTGCTATAAAACCCCAAGGGGATTACTAGGAATTTCTTGGAACTGAGCCTTGCTTCACGCCCTGAGGGGGAATTTTTAAACACTCCTCCAGCCAGTCATTCCGCAGGGCTTAACTGATCATTCCAGTCAGTTCTCAGCTGGATTTGATGAGTCTCCCTGAGTGGCGAATGATTTATTTCTCACTTCCTGCTCTTTGAGTTGACAGCATGTAATTAATTTTCAAAAGTCAGTTGTGTCTGTGTTTGACGTTCTAGGATATGAATGAACCAGCAAGCTTTGTGAATGGGGCAGTTCCTCCAGGCTGCAAGGACGCCACCCTGAACCGCCCTGCCTACATGCCGCGTAAGGACCCGGGCCACCTCTGCCTGCAGAGCTATGGCCACAGGGAGCGACCCCTGCAAGAGGCCCAGGGCCAGGGGTTTGTCCTGACCTCTCAGGGCCCATCCTCTGTGGTGCTTTGGTTTTGGCAGGCAGGGGGCGCCAAAGATAGACACACTTTAAGCACTTTACCCACTTGAGTGTGTACAAGTCACTGGCCCCATAGGATGGATTTCTCAAATTTGTTCAGAAAACATTTAACGATGGTTATGTTTCCAGAGGGTTCTGCAGCTAATTCCTTACCTGTTCGGGCTTCTGTTAATTCCCTCACGGGACCTCACTGACCAGTGGAGGGAAGGCAGTGGCTTCCCCTCATCATGGAGTCGATGGACTTTGGCATTACACTTGTGATCATACCTTGGCTCCAGAAATGATCCCTCTGTGAATTATGTGACCTTCAACAGATGACTTGGATGTTCACAAATCTCAGGTTTTTTAAAGGAGGATAACGATATCTTCTTCATAGGATTATGATGAGAATTACATGAAATAATTAAGACGTTGAAAGCCTCGGCCGGAGCCTGTCACATTGCGTTTGACAGCTCCGTGTGCTCCCCCATGCCGCTGGCTTTCTCCTGGAGAATCCCCCGTTGAAAACACCTGTGGGTGCCAGTGCAGCTCACAGAGCTGAGCACGTCCCCAAGGGAAGGCGAGGGAATCAAGTTAGTCTTACGATCCAGAGTCCAACCCCTTGAACAGAGGTCAGGGATAAACGGGGTAAGAAGTGGCTTTCGCGTCGCTTGATCTTCCCCCTCAGATCTGGAGTCCAGGGACAAGGGTCTGAGCAGCAAGACCCTGTGCATGGAGAGCGAGCAGATCCTGGCGGACGGCTCCCGGGTGCGGCATTACGACGTGCACAGCCTGTATGGGTGGTCCCAGACGCGGCCCACCTACGAGTGAGTCATCATCTCTCTCCTGTCACACGGCCCGCAGAAACAGCCGGTGGCTCCTGGAGCGACCCTGCTTTTCCTCTCATTCCTTCTTCTAAGGCTTAAGCAGATTTTAATTACAGCTCTGTAGCAGTTATTATTTATTAAATAAATACTCGTGACCAAGGAGCCAGGCCCCATGATATCGGTTGACAGGACAGGTTTAGACAAGGCCTGGTCTTGCCAGTGTGAGACTCGTAGCCCCGGTGGAGGAGACACAGGCCGTTATCATGCGGTGCAGCTGATGCTGTAACAACTTGACTCATAAGAGGCAAAGAGAGTGCAGAGGACTGGACAGTGACTTTATTTTAAAAGTCACTCATCTTTTTGGGGATTTTTTTTCTTTTTTTGGTCATTCTTGTTGGGTAGCCAACTGGCGTTCTACTGAATTAGCACTGTCCCATTTTGTGAGCTTCGTCAATGAATAAGAATTACTCTAAGGAAAACCTTATAAAGAAATTCACCTTCTTCTTCCCCAAATATATGAAACTAAGTACTGAGTAAAGACACAGTAAGATTTGGGTGATTATTATTCTTAGGTGACCTAGTGAGTTTATCACATGGTGAAGGTCTTTGTAAAACACTGTAAACATTCTAAAAGTGTAACTGTTATTATTCTCTGCATCATCTGGGGTCATTCGGTAGGGACCTCATTATAGCTCAGATTTCCATATTCCCTCCAGTAACGCAGGAAACATTTTGTCACCGTGCCCTAAGACCGGATGTTCTGGGAGGTGAAGCTCTGTGGCGTTTCCTCCGCTGTCCTAATCCCAGTCACCTTCTTGTTCCCTTCCAACCAGAGCTGTGCAGGAGGTGACAGGACAGCGAGGGGTCGTCATCACCCGCTCCACATTCCCCTCTTCTGGCCGCTGGGGAGGACACTGGCTGGGAGACAACACGGCTGCGTGGGACCAGCTGAGGAAATCTATCATTGGTGTGTGGGCTTAACTCCGGGGGCCTCTGCTGGTGGGCAGGAGGCGTGGGACGCTCGATAAAGGGTTCACTGTGGAGTGGGGAGGAAGCAGGTCACAGGTGGCTTGTCTCACACAGCTGTGGTTCTCATTGCAGGCATGATGGAGTTCAGCCTCTTTGGCATATCCTATGTAAGTGTCCCTTAGATCTCTCCTAATCCCCAAGTAGATGATGAGAGCTCTCAGAAACCTTCAACGGGTTTATCTTATTCCACCTTGATTCAGACAGGAGCAGATATTTGCGGGTTCTTTCAAGATGCCGAATATGAGATGTGTGTTCGCTGGATGCAACTGGGGGCCTTCTACCCCTTTGCGAGGAACCACAACACCATTGGAACAAGGGTAGGACAAGGATGTCACTAGGAGCACAGCCTCCAATTTTGATCTATAATTAAGGCAGTAAATATTCCATAGGTGCATCTTTAAAATCATTAAACCCTCATGTTTCTTCTTTGTGATAGATTTATATACTGTGAAATAATTACTACAGCAGGGTTGGTTGACACCTCTGTCACCTCAGATAATTACTATTTCTTTCTTGCGGTGGGGACATTTAATATCTACTCTCTTAGCCCCTTTCAGATATACAGTACAGTGTTGTTAACTGTACTCACCGTGCTGTACCTTACATCCCCAGATCATATTTGCCTTATAACTAGGAGTTCGTATCCTTTGACTGACATCTTCGTATTTCCCTTAGCCCCCAGCCCAGATAACCACCATGCTACTCTTTCTATGAGTTCCACTTTTTAAGATTCCTTTTTAGATTCCTCTGTTTTAGAAAAATGCGATCATCCAGTATTTGTCTTTCTCTGTCTGACCTATTTCACTTAGCACAACGCCATAAAGCTCCTTCCATGTTGCTGAAAATGGCAAAATTTCCTTCCCTCTGTTGCTGAAAAATATTCCGTTGTATATATACCACATCGTCATTCACTCATCCATCCACGGACATTTAGGTTATTTCCGTATCTTGGTTGTCGTGACGAGTGCTGCAGTGAACATGGAAGTGCAGATATCTCTTTCGCAGAAACATTTCATTTTCTTTGGTTATATACCCAGAAGTGGAACTAACGGATCACATGGTCGTTCTATTTTTGATATTTTGAGGAACGTCCATACCCCTTTCCGTAGTGGCCGCACCAGTTTATGTTCCCTCTCTCAGTGCACAGGGCTTCTCTTGTCTCCACAGCACTCGTCTTATTTTTGTCTTTTCGATAGCCATTCCGACAGGTGTGAGGTGATACTACATTACACGATTTGTGTTTTCCTGATGATTCATGATGTTGAGCATTTTTTATGTACCCGTTGGCCAGTTGTATGTCTTCTTTGGAAACTAGAAATCAGTCACCAGGAGGAAAACTGGAAAATTCAATTGAACAACCAATGGGTCAAAAGAGAAATCAAAAGGAAAATCAAAAAATATTTTTGAACAAATGAAAATGGAATATAACATACTAAAACTTATGGGTTTACACCTCAAGGAACTACAAAAAGAGTAAAGTTAGCCAAAGAAAGGAAATAACAAAGATCAGAGCAGAAATAAATGAAATAGAGACTAGAAAAGCAATAGAAAAGGTCAGCAAAACTAAGCTGTTTCTTTGAAAAGAATCGAAATGGACAAACTGTTAGCTGGACTTCCTAAGGAAAAAAAGAGAGATGTCTCAAATGAGTAAAATTATGAATGAAAAAGGAGACATTATAGCTGATACCATAGAAATACAGAGGATCACAAGAGACAACTATGAACAATTGTATGCCAACAAATTAGACAACTTGAAGAAATGCATAAATTCCTAGAAACATGCAACCTACCAAGACTGAGTTATGAAGAAATAGAAAATCTGAACTGGCCAATAGTGAGTAAGGAGATTGAATCAGTAATTTAAAATCTCCCTTCACGATGAAGCCCAGGGCCAGATGATTTTCCTGATGATTTCTATTAAACATTTAAAGAAGAATTAATGCCAATCCTCAAACTCTTCCAAAAAAGTTGAAGAGGAAAGAACACTCCCAAACTCATTTTATAGGACCAGCATTACCCTGATTCTAAAGCCAGATGTGGACACTACAAGAAAACTACAGGCCAATATCCCTGATGAATGGAGAAACAGAAATTCTCAACACAATATTAGCACAGTGAATTTGGCAGCACACCGAAAGAAACATACGCCACGATCAATAGAGATTTAACCTTGGGATGCAAGGATAGTTCAACATACACACATTAATAAATGTAATATACCATATTAATAGACCGAAAGATAAAAATCATACGATAATCTCAGTAGATACAGTAAAAACATTTGACAAAATACAACAATCTTTCATGATAAAAACTCTCAACAAATTGGGCATAGAGGGAACGTAGCTCAACATAACGAAGACCATGTAAGACAAGCCTACAGCTTACATCACACTCAATAGTGACATTTGGAAGCTTTTCCTGTAAAATCATGACCGAGACAAAGGTTTCCATTCCTAGTACTCCTGCTCAACATAGTGCTGGAAGTCCTAACCAGAGCAATCAGATAAGAAAAAGAAATAAAAGCCGTTCGAATCGGAAAGAAGTGAATTGTCTGTTTACAGCTTATATGATGTTATATATAGAAAATTCTAAAGCTGTCACCAAAAAACTATTAGAACTAATCAATGAATTCAGTAAAGTTACAGGATACAAAATCAACTTACAGAAATAAGTTGCATTTTTATACCCTAACAACAAAATATGTGAAAAAGAAAGAAAACAATCTCACAACAGCACTGAAAGGCAGTAAAATACTTAGGAATAAATTTAACCAATAAGATGAAAGATCTATACACTAAAAACAATAAGACATTGATGAAAGGAAGTGGAGAAGACACAGATAGATCTCATGTTCATGGATCAGAGTAATTAATATCCTGAGAATATCTGAACTACCCCAAGCCATTTATATAGTCAATGCAATCTCTGTCAAAATTACTGTGAAAATTTTCACAAATATAGAAAATAATAGTTCTTAAATTATTGTGGAAACAAAAAAGATTTCTAATAGCCAGAGCAATCCTAAGAAAGAAGAACAATTTGGAGGCATTACACTTTCTGACATCAAAGTATGTTACAAAGCTATAGCCATCAAACTAGTATGGTAGTGGCATAAAAATAGACACGTAGACCAACGGAACAGAATTGAGAGCTCAGAAATAAAACCTCGCATATACTGTCAACTAACATCTGACAAGGGAGCCAAGAATGATCAATGGGTAAGGGATAATCTCTTCAATAAATGGTGTTGAGCAAACATGCAGAAAAATGAAATAGGTCCTCTATCTTACACCACTTATGAAAATTAACTCAGAATGGATTAATGATTTAATCATAAGACCTGAAACCGTAAAACTCCTAGAAGAAAACACAGGGGAAAAGTTCCTCGGCATTGGTCTTAGTAATGAATTTTTAACAGAAGCAACAAAAGCAAAAATAAATGAATGGGACTCCATTAAACTAAAAAGCTGCTGCACAGCTGAAGAAACAATAAAAGAAATGAAAAGGCACCTATATAACAGGAGGAAATATTTGCAAACCATTTATCTGATGAGGGATTAATATCCAAAATAAGTAAGGCACTCACACAACTCAACAACAACAATAAAAACCCAAGCAATCTAATTAAAATTGGGCAGTGGAACTAATACACATTTTTCTGAAGAAGACACACAAATGGCCAATAGCTACATGAAAAGGTCCTTATGTTTCAATGAACCATCTTCTTCAATGTTCTTTAGATTATTCTTTTCATTTTGGCAGCAGTATTGTACCAAATATATCCTCCATAAAAACCTCTTACGGGGGAAATTTTATCAGCTGCCCTGGGACAGCTTCACTGATTTCTTTTGGTCTATTAAGAATATGCTCTGAGTCTCATTGGTAATCACCTTTGATTTAGTTATGTGTGATTTTCGTTTGTTATAAACATTCAGCGACCCCAAGTCCCCCAACTCCCCTAAGGTGACCTCTGAAACTCCTCTTTTTCTGCTTTAGAGGCAAGACCCTGTGTCCTGGGATGATACCTTCATGAATATCTCCAGAAGTGTCCTGCAGACCAGATATACCCTCTTGCCGTATCTCTACACCCTCATGCACATGGCGCACACGGAGGGCAGTACCGTCGTGCGGCCTCTTCTCCACGAGTGAGTGTCCAGCCAGAATCCCAAAGATGGAGGGATAATTTATTCTGTATGGTATTAGTTGAAGAGGACATTTCTCCCAAATTAAACTAAAGACATGATTGCTCTTTGCTGTAAGCTCTCTGGGCACATACCATATGTTATAACTCCTCTTGGATCAGTGTCGGTGAGACCCTGGGTCTTTGATAAGAGTCTATTTAATCAAAACTGTTTTTCCCCTCAAATGATACAATATAACACACAATAATTTCTTTCTAGTTTGGGTGTGCGAAGACCTATACATCTCTTACAGCAACTCAGATCACAAGGCATTCAGGGGGAGATTTGAGAGATGAAAGCCATCCTTGCATTTAGGATATGCCATGGTTAAGCAATGTGCAGATATTTATAAGTGTGAACACGTCTAAATCCAGTCACATCTGGAGTGTTAAGAACATGACATGTGAAAAGTAAATGCATATCTGATTAAGGTCGACCTAGGAGAGAGTAAAGGATGGCATAGAACGTAGCTGGACTTCTGACTTGGGTCTGAACTTGAGGAGTTTCTTCGAGGCCTTAGTCTGGAGCCCCATTGGAGTTCTGATTGTGATTCCTTGGTTTGTTTTTCCAGGTTTGTGTCGGACCATGTGACCTGGGATGTAGACAGTCAGTTCCTGCTGGGCCCAGCTTTCCTGGTCAGCCCTGTCCTGGAGCCCGTGAGTATGGAGGCCTCTGACGAGTAGAGGACCCCAGTCATGAGGCCTGGGGAACAGGAAAAGGAGAAGAGGCCAGGTCCAGTGGGGGTACTGAGGGGTGGTTTTTCATTTTATACCTGTTTCTTCCTCCCTCTCTCTGAGCCGAAGTCCTTCACTTAAGTGTTCTGGTCCTCAGCTCCATCATCTTTAAAATCGCTATAACAGATTCTGATTCCTAGGACAATCAAGAAGGAAAAAAAAATTATGATATTCGTTAAGATTCAATTATTTCTTCATAATTGAATTTAACTGAAATTAAGAGCATGGCCTGGGTAGGGATAGTACTGTAAAGAATTCATTACACCCCTCTATCAGCATTGAAACAACACTTTTCAGAAGGTTTGTTTGGAACAATGTGTATAATCTTGTTGGTGGTGGTTAGCCCTTCCCGTCTATAAGGGGTCCTCAGGCAGCAAAAGCCATCTCTTTACTTTTTCTGTCAATAATTAGGCTTCAGATTAAAGCACAGGTTAATTGCATTCACCCCCAAACTTATTGCACTAATCATACTCTCTGAGGTATTGGCACCATAAAGCCTACGAAATTTTCTTCTGCCCCAGACTCAGCCTCATTTTCTCTTTCAAGAGGGTGTGGGATAAGTCTATAAGCAAATGATGTTTTTTTTCCCCCAAAGTTCTGTATCCCAAAAGGCTTTACAGAAGCCATCATTTTGGCACAGGCAAATCTCCCCTGTTTGAGAAGTGGGGAGAAAAGGAAGGTTTTCCCAACAGTACTGACCTCGAGAAAGATGAAGAATGTGGGTCGAAGGCCGTCACTGTTTTAACCAAATGGGTTACTCTACCTTAGATGACAGAGCCCACTGCCCGTGACGTTTTTGTGTTTAATTTTAGAATGCCAGAAACGTCACTGCGTATTTCCCCAGAGCCCGCTGGTACGATTTCTACACGGTAAGTGTCTCTGTTGTTTACGCAGCCGGGAAAACAGTCGCACGCACAGGCTCTAGAATCTGACAGACCTCTGGTCACATTCTGTCTCTGTAACCCGCTCGGTGTGTGACCTTGCACCCGTCCCTTTTAACCACGTAGTCTCAGTTTTATCACCTCTAAATGGACTGAGTTTATAAGTATAGGGGCCCCTTCCTCGCTATCTTTTTTTCCCCCATATCTTCTTCTATAGCATAGATGCTCAAAGGAGAGTCGTTGAATGTAATTTCCCAAGGGTTGCAGGGTCTTAGGCTGTGTGTGAAATGCACACGGAGGTGTGGGGCCCAACCCCGTGTCCCGGACCAAGCGCGTGTAGAAATGCGGTTGAAAACCTATCATCCTCTGTCATGGAATGAACATTTCTGGGCTAGTCTGAGCCCCGGAATCTCATCTGGGAAAACAGGGTCTTCCAAAGCAGCTGCAGGGCAGTATTGTTGAGGACAAATCAAAGGGAGTGTTCCTCTCCCTCTAACTAGGCCTCCTCCTCTGATCTTCCTGAGGAGAACAAAGCAGAGGCGTGGACCACAGCGAAGGGATGATGGCAGGAGGGCCCGCGGCAGGGCCTGCCTGCCGGCCCCTTCTAGCCAGCGACTTGCCGTGGGATGACGTCACCATATTAACATTCTTAATATTCTGTACTCGATCCCACTGACAGTTTATAGAAGTACCAGATGCTCTTTCTTTTTTCACATTTGAAAAGGAGAAGAGGAAGGATGTTTTATAAATGTTAGCGAAAGCACGGAAAATGCTTGGACTTGGTAGATAAAATGGAGGCTTAGGCTCTCCACATGGAGCAAAGGATTCAAGCAGATTCTGTTTTGAACTGAGTTTCTTTGTTGTCACATAGGTTACTTACTGTATGCTTAAGTAAGGCTGGAGGTTATTTATAATTCATGCCATTCTTGTTTCTGGAATTAGCCTAGATTTTCCCCTTGTCTATTCAAGAGAGCGTATGCTAGCGTGAGCTTCTCCCCACCATCACCCAGAGGTTATCTGAATTTCTAGCCAGAGAAGACACTTGGTAAAAGAATCCTTATATATAAGGTGGCAAAATTTCAGAAACAATTTACATTTCCAGCAGCACTTGATGAGAGTGTTCATCTCCTCAAATCAGTTTTGACTAATTTTTTTTATTTTTATGTTCATCTTATTGAGCTATACTTCTTATTTGTATACTTTTTTTTGTATATATGCTATTGAAAAGGTAACTAGAAAATTCATATTCCTCAGAGATATAAGAACATATTATACTTAAAATAAAAAAGCATACTATAACCAGGCATACTCACACAAACAATCCTTAGACATTAAAGGCCTGATGCAGATATTTAAAATTTTGTTTAGAAAGATTATGCAATCTAGGAAATTACCCAGAAGGTAGCACAAAAAGGCATAGATGGAAAGCAGAAGAGGAAAAAAAGAGGAAGCCCTACTTAGCTTTATAGCCACCACTTTTGCATAGTTTCTTTGCTGCTTGTCCAGCGGGACCTGGGAATTAGCCAGCACCTTGAGTGGAGGATGGCGGAAGAATGTGAGGCTCCTGTCTCGGCGGCTCCCAGTCCTCAGGCCCCACGACTCCTTGTATTACAGCTGCCTTGAGGGCCGTGAACACCACCTCCCCGCTCCCCCTGCACTGCCTCTCCTGTGTTCACCTGACTCCCAGAAGCAGCAAGTCATCCCTTGCCGCTTGGCCTTTAGGCCCCACTTGTTTCATGCAATGGCAGGTGCCTTGATGCAGGACGGGTGGAAGTGCGTCGTTAGGACTAAGGCTGGACCTTCACTGGCTCTGACGCTCGGCTCTCTGAACGAGCTGCAGAATCAGCAGTTTACAGCTCCGCAGAGTTCGCGCCTGTCTCAGCCACGCCTGTGTGGCTGAGCTCGCCAGGAAGTGTTTTTCTACCCATGCCCCTCTCCTTTCTGTCACACTGGGCACTATCGTTCATAAACTTTATTTGGGAGGGGGCGGCACGGAACTATGCTGGCGACTTATTACCTATTTTTATGAAGATTAAGAGCAGGCAATGTGTACAATCAAAGTTTTTACCTACTTGTGGCCATTTCTGTTTTGTTTAGTTTCCTTTTACAGTTTAGAACATATGTTGGGTTTTCTAGAACAGTGCTTCTCAGTCGTAATTGACTATGCAGTTGGTGAAAACTTCCCTGACAAAGGCATGTTAGGTTGTCGTTTCTTATTTCAGTACTGCTGCTTTTGGATTTTTATCATATAGTTAAACCTTTATGCATAGTTTAATGGAAATTTGTTAGGCTAGCCCGGTCAGAAGCTATCTAAAGGGAAGTTAAAAGCTTGCGCCTCATTAGGTATTGGAATGAAATAAGATCAGAATCGTGTCACATTTAGTAGCCGTAATGTGCAGTAGAATGAAATAACCATTGGAGAAAAGGATTTGGTAGGAAGATGACTGACAGTTTTATGTGTATTGAGTTTCACTTGAAGGTAGGACAAACGATGGAGGGAAAGGTCCAGTATTCATAAGATATTGGCATGAAATGTCATTAGAAATCGTATAATCCAATTTTCCTGTGATTTCAGTGAATGAGCCAAAGAAGCCCAGAGACATGGGTTGGAATTTCTATTAAGTCCTGAAGACTTTGGGGTCCTGCGGCAGGCCCAGGAAGTAGAGTCCACCCTGGGGAGCATGGTATTTGGTCACTGTGCTTCCCTCTGCTGCCCACCCCTACAGTTATTTTTACAGGCTGAACCTGTATAAAATGAACATTCGGGGCCCAAAGCGAAGGAGTGTTATGGTAGCTTCACTGCTTACCTCTAAAATAGCGGTTCTCAAATGGGGGGATTTTGCCTATCAGGGGACATTTGGAAAAGTGTCCAGAGACATTTTTTGGCTGTCACAGTGTGATAGGAGGCCAGGAAGATGCTGCTGGTGTCTAGTGGATAGACGCTGGTAAGCACCCAAAAAACACAGGGCAGCCCCCACAGCAAAGAATCCATCTGGCCCTAAATGTTCGTGGTGCTGAAGCTGAGGCGCCCCCTCTCCCAGCTGGAAAATGTGGATGGCTGGTTTCTTAGGAACTGAGAGTCATGGCTCAGGGCAAAAGGACACTTCTCCCTGTCACACGTGAGGCAGGATACAGGTGTGAAACACCAAGGAAAATGTAGTTTAAGATAAGGATTTGTAAGCCGAGTCAGCTTTCTCTAATCTTTTCTATGAAGTCAGTGTCAAGGGTGTGAGTTAAATTGGTGGGGTGGGGGGGGGCAGTAAAGGGAGAGGGAGACAAGTTGCGACAAAGTGGAAGAGAAGCTCTAGAAATGTCATTGCAGGGAGCGTGTCAGGAGCCAGAAATGAATGAAAGGGTTGTCCAACCTCCTGTCACGGCGCTCTGAGACACAGAAGCGGGACATGGCGTCAGAGCCACGCTATGATCTCATGCGGCGTGTACCGTGGAAACCCCACAAGGCAGGGACCCCGGTCAGGCAGGCTAGCAGCGATGCAGGTTTCCACACCCGCGCCGGGCGAGTGTGCGGAAGCGTAAGGACAGGCACGTGCCGAAGGATCACAAACAGGCAGGGAGTTCAAAAGAGGGGACACAGCGTCCGGCAAATGCGTTGTCCAGCACACGTTCTCTCCCTCGTCATCTCTGACTTTCTCTTGGCCCACAGGGTGTGGACATTCAAGCAAGGGGAGAGTGGAAGTCTTTGCCAGCCCCTCTTGACCACATTAATCTTCACGTCCGTGGGGGTTACATCCTGCCCTGGCAAGAGCCTGCACAGAACACCCACTTCAGGTGCGTGACAAGCCAGTTAGCCCAGGTCCTGGTGAAGCCCACCAATCTGTAAGCAGCCTTCTTGGGCTCCAAAGTAACTTTACTAAATGCTTTTGTTGCTTTGTTTGTTTGTTTGTGTTTTCATCTTTTTCAGACTTTATATTATTTTATTCGTTTATTTTGCATTTTTTAAAAATTTAATTTTATTAGTTTCTGGTATACAGTCCATTGGCTAGACATTTCTATAGTTTATGAAACGATCCCCCCGATGGCTCTTTCTCTCCTCTGGCTCTCCACCCAGCCATTGCATTAATGCCGACTGCATTCCCCGTGCCGTGCTCCCCATTATTAATGACTATTTTAGGTCTAAGTGGATGAGATGCTAGGTCTAATTAGTGGTATTTGAAATGGAAGTCAAATAAGAGCAACCATGGTTCAAGCTAGTTTTAGATGACTGGGTCTCACCCGACTCTTCACTAAGAAAACTATCGCTGAAAAATTGTGTAAGCCATATGCAGCTGATGCTTGAGGCTGAGTTTCTTCATATGCAGATTTTAACATTCTAGATCAGTCTGTATAATAATTGATAATAGCTAGCATCAAATGAATGCTTGCTCTGTGCCTAGAACTGAAATAATATAGAGATTTCTAGTTGGAGATTATCTATTTTTGTAACAAAAAGAAAAAATAAACCCTATGGTGTAAGTACTATTATTATCTCCATTTTACAGATGAGCAAACAGAGGCTTCAAGAGACTAAGTGATTAACTCAGAGTCACGCAGTCAGTAAGTAGCTGAGCAGGGACTAAAATCCTCATCTGTCTGATGTCAAACTAAAATTATTAGAGCCCTACTCATTTGAGTCCAAAAATTGAGTTAAAAACTGAAGAACTTAGGACATTTGTAAACAGAGATCATTGTGCACGTGTTGAGAAAGTTAGATCATGAAAGAGGAAAGATCGCACAGGATTCTCCTCATAACCGAGAAAGGAAGGGATCCAGTGACGTTGCTTGTAGTTTCTGGTAGAGCTTGTAGAACCCGAAAGGAAGATTCCCTTTGATTCATTCACTGATTCACGCATTCCTGATATGAAGTCATACAGCTAATGGAGACAGAACTAGGACTAGATCACAGGTCTCTTGAATCCTAGGACTCGGTCTTTGCAGCATGTAGGACTTCCTTTACGTTTTTATGAAAAATCTCGGTTTGTGGCTGTGGCTTGGTTTTTAGCTAATGCCTCTCCCCCACCCCGCCACAGCCGCCAGAAATTCCTAGGCTTCAAGGTGGCCTTGGACGATGAGGGGACTGCTACAGGTCGGCTCTTCTGGGATGATGGGCAAAGCATTGGTGAGTAAGAGTTGCCTCGGATTCATATCGATACTTCGGACTAGGTTCCTGGATCTCTTATAGGCCTGTTCTTTCCTTTTCCATGTTAAAGCAATTTTGCGTTTTTAAAATATAGTCAGTTGTTACTTTGAAGCAAATAGTGCATAGTGTACTTTATACTCAAGGCCTAATGTAAATGGTCTGAATCTCTCAGCATTATCCTAATCCACGATGAAAGACAGCAGTATGGAAACCATAGGGAAAGTTTCTTTTTAACCAAGTATGGTTTATGTTCAAGGGCACATTCCCGAATTACATGGTTTATTGTCTCAGTAAGACAGACAGTGCCTATATCAGCTGTGCTATTTCTTTGGGGGAATTTTCCATTAGGAGTTGACCGGAATTGGTGAACTCTCAGGAGGATGGCTCAAGTATCATTAGCTATTTCCAGGCCAGTGCTGTCCAGTGGAACCTTCTGCAGTGATGGAACTGTCCTGTATCTCTGTTCCCCTTGGGCAACAGTAGCCATTGGATGGCTATTGAACACCTGAAATATAACAAGTACATCTGAGGAAGTGAATTTTTAATTTTATTTGATTTTAATTAATTCTAGTTTAATAGCTACATTTTGCTGGTAGCTACAATTTGTAGAGTTCAGCTGAGGCCCTCCTATAGAGTGAGTGGTAAGCAAATTAGAAAGAGACGAACCATCAGGGAAGAGTAATAAAGCCAAAGGTGGTGGGGCGGGAAGGGGGATACCTGAGACAAGGCTCATGAGTCCACCTGAACCGGATGTGCTGCGCTTCCTCTTTTCCCTGGACTTTGACACAGATTAAGGATAAAAGGACAAAGAAGGCTTTTCTTTGGCTTTCTTTGTTCTCTGGAGAGTGGATTTAAGAAATTTCCTGGTATCTCTGAAAACAAATTGACCAAGACACTACCCTTGGTGTTTGTGACGTGTGCCTATGTGCAGGTATGTGCTCACACGTGTGCCTCTAGCACATGGAATCTGGAAATTTCAAGGTGACCAGGAAGTTGCTGAGGGTGGTAGACCATGAGGAAGAGAAGTGGCTAAGGGTGGTGTTAGGGGACTTCATTATGTGAAGTGACTGTCAGGCAGATGTGTCTGCACACACTCAGTTCAAACATCTCGTGGAAACCGAGGTTGAAGTGGGGTCTGCCTAATCTCCAAAAGAGGAATCCCCAAATGGTAATCTGTAAATAAAATAAACCTCCTAGCTCTGAATTTTAGTTCCCTCACAGAAGTGATGCCTATTTCATGGATGTGCTGTGAGAATTAAACGAGATCAAGTGAAATGTTGACCTCTAAATAAAAAAATAAAATAAAATAAAATAAGAAACAAAAATAATCCCTTTTTTCTCAACCAAGACAAGTAGACAATTAGAATTCTAGAACATAACTCCAGACTGTGTTTACCTTGTTGTTTATTTGCAGATACCTATGAAAATGGACTCTATTACCTGGCCCACTTTTCTGCCAGCCAGGTGAGTGTGACTGATACTATGAATGGAGACTATAAAGTTCTATGGGCTTATTAGGATGCTGGATGTCATAGGCATAAAGTACCACCTAGGATTCGTTTATCGTTCCCCTTGCTAATTTGCATCCTGCCCTTCCTCAGCACTTCAGATAGAGATTTAGTATGCTCCCAGAAAGTTTTCTGCGATTAAACACACTCAGGTTTCATCAGTAACTAATTCCAGCTTACCAAGATGGACAGACGATTTCGATGTTATCCAGCACTTGTTCCTGTGTTGCCTTGGAATGGTCTGCATGTTTGTGACCTCCCCACAGATAGAATGTAAGGTTCCTGATCACTGAGACTTTTGCCTCTTTTCAGTTCAGGGCAGTTCTAGAGATCTTGTAGGTGCTTCTTTAGCCAATGCACGTTTGGATGATAGCTGGTGACCAAAGAGAGAGTGCCGAAATCATGGCGTCCACTGTTCAAGGACACAAGATGGTGGCTCTGAAGCTGTCTTCCTTCATGATCTACATTTGTGTCCAAGAGGAGGTGGGGAAAAATTTGAACAAATTTTCTCCCCTCCCCCTGTTTCTTTTATCTCTAATTTAACAGAATACGATGGAGAGTCATGTAATTTTCAACAAATACATCAACGATACAAACCCTCTGAAAGTGGGCTACATTGAGATCTGGGGAGTGGACAGCGTCCCCATTTCCAGTGTCAGCGTCTCTGTGAGCAGCATGGTTATAACACCCAACTTCACCCACAACCCTACAACACAGGTTTGTGACCAGCGAAAAGTCTGGATGATATTTCCCAACCCTGAGTTGCACTGTGCAACGCCTGCCTGCTTCCCTTACAAACGACACCCTCTCCTGCAAAGCCCTTCATGAATCCCTCTATTTCAGTAAGTGAGTGACAGACAGCGTGATGACAAAGGGAAAGCTGGCTTTATCAGCATCTGGGGTTGCGGGTCTGGATCTGTACTTGCCATGCATGTGCTCTTGTCTGCAAACTCATGAAGACCTTGTCTTCGCTCCCTCACCTGTGCTTCAGAGAGCTACTTCCCAAAAAGCTCGAACTGCCATATTTTGTCAACTGTAATTCAGTGGTTCAGTTAAAAACCAACCCCATTATTTCATGTGCCATAATGAAAGAAAAAAGGATAAAAAAGTATGGTACAATGCTTTCCTATCACTGAAAATTCTGTTTTGAACTTATATGAAGTTTTAGAAAACTTCTTTAGACATAGATTTTTCTCATTTTAATATGTTAAGTGATAATACAGGGGCAAATGTTGGGTGGAAGAGATGCACGGGCGTTGATGATTTTGCATCAAAGTAATTTAGAAGAAGTAGGCCCTGATGTGAAGAGATATTAAAAATGCCTTAACCAATTTGTATCATATATTTTTCTCTTATTATTTAAGTCTTTTAATTATTTTATTATTTAAATCTTTTACTATTTTATTTATTATTATCTAAAAAGAAACTACATGACAGTATGGATTAAAGCATTTCCTATGTACCACCTGAGGTGTTGGTAATATAGAATTTTAAAAAGTTCTTCCACGATTGTGTATAAGATTTTCTCCTGAGCCATTTGCATGTTTATACATTATCTTACCATCAGCCAGGACTCACATACCCTTGTAAAGTAATCCTTAAGTTCATCCATTCATAATACCAGTAATAGCAATGAAGTTCATGTTCGCACAGATAGTAGTCGTCATGAGTGCAGCTTGGCCCCGGTAATTCTAAGCCTGTTGATTGGAAGACATGTTTAGATTCACGAAGGTGAAATATGTGAAAACTATACCTTGGAATTAATGTAGTGTAGAGTCCTAACATCTCCCTGTGGTAAGAGGGATCTTCCCTTGTGGGCTTATTACTTCTTGCTTTTTCCTAAACTACTTTTCTTTCATCATCCTCCTGATCACGAGGCCTGAAACAAAAGTTTTCCTTCAGGTTTGTATTCGTCGTTTCCTCGTATTGGTGGTTTTAACCAACTTCCCAAACTTTACCAAGAACTCATAAATGACTTCACCCAATTTTCTTGCTGACCAACTTGTAGAGTGTACCTGCGGTGAAATTTTATGGAAAGTGTTTCCCTAGGAAAAAAGCTGGGCTATTGGACCACTACCAGCAAATATCGGGGCTCTGCGAGGGACTCACAGAAGGAGGAAGTAAAAGGGGGCTCTGAAGGAAGTCAGTACTCCAAGCGAATGGAAACGGGGATATTGTCTCCACTTCGTCTCTGGGGGTGTGTCTATGTGGTGGTTGTATATCGCATTATTTTGGGACTTGTATTTCCTCTCTCACTAAATAATCTTTGTGCACCACGTAATTAAGAAACATCCTCCCTCCTTGAAAATTTGAGAGCGGCCTAGATGCGAGGTAACGGATTGTGAAAGTATCAGAGCATCATGTAGACAGTCGGCGTGTGTCTGCTTTATTTGAGTGCAGGAAATGTCAATCGCCAGATGCCCAATGCTTTTCCTTTGGTTCCCAACAGGTGTTAAGTATCGATGTGACCAACAGAAACATCAGCCTACATAATTTCATTTCCTTGACATGGAGAAGCACTCTGTGAATTTTAAGAACAAGATCCTATGAATGTCTTTGAAACTACTTCTACTTCGTGCTTATAAAATTATTGTGTGTTGCTAATTGGTTCATGCCCAGTGTGGGTAAAATATTTTATTAATTATGTTGTGTGTTTTGTCTGTGTCTCAGCTCTCTGGGATAGGCAGTAGGGAGGTGTGGAAAGTCAGTGGGTTACCTTAATGTCTGTATGTGATTAGTACGTTATCAGTTGTTTATCATAGAACATTTACTGAAGGTGAGCTGGGTCCGTGATGAAGTGTGTGTCTGCATGTGTACATGTGTGTGATCAGGGAACAGGCCTCGCTTTCCTGCTCAATACACAAGGAAGAGCTTTCTAGGACAGTTCCAGGTCCTGAGCTAACACCCCAAGAAAGTATCCAGAAAGAACACCTGCTAGTTGGTAATAGGGAGAGGGGAACAGAATGCTGAGAGCATGGTAAACGGGGTAGAAGAGGCAAACAGAAGGAAAGGTAAGCAGGAAAGACGAGAGGAAATAGAAGATGACAGTAAGGATCATGACATTAACCAATGTCATCCCAATAAATTTAATTAAAAAAAAATTAGGAACACTAGCTTCATGGGGAGGAGAAAGGAAGAACCAACTCACTTAAAAGCAAGAAGCGGGGTTAGGGGAGGTTCTTAGCATATGGGAGTAGGGGCGAGGATGGGATTTAAGCAGGCAGAGCTGAAGGAAGGAGTTTGAATGTAAAAAAACCAAAAAACCTTATTTTTGCAGTGGTGTGCTTTGAAATGTGTAAATCTTATTTCTCTACTGTGTGCCTAATGTACGTAACCGCAATTCACACACACGCATGCAACTTCCATGCCAGAGCAAAATAAAACAAGCAGATTTACAAGAGATTTTGAATTTTGTGATATTTTGACCATGGGTGATCTCACTTCAGATTAAGGCCTCTTCCTGTTCAGCAAACCCTTGTAAATTGATCTCGTTCTCTTTGGCATCAGAGTTCCTGCTGTCTGATCCACCGATGGAATGATCAGCCTTCTGAATACCCACCCTTTCCCTTATACCTTTGGCATGGGTTTTCATTAGATTCAGGTTCGTAAGAGAGTACTCAGATTGTTATTGTTTTCATCTTCATAGCAGTTACTATATTTGGTTAAAAGATCAACTCTGACAAAACAGAATCTGCAACCCTATTGGTTAAAACATGAGATGGTTAAAATTTGCAGTAAAGAAATTGTATATTAATGTTCAACAGGGATTTTAACTTTTAGTATTACTTGACAACGAGTGTGTTCGAAATGAATGTGTTTACCTCTCTATGACATTTTTTAACACCAGGAAGCCGTATTCTACTTGCATCCTCATGTGTCAGTACCTGCATAAGTCTACAGAAAATAAAACTGTTAAATTGGCATGATGTTCTAATTATCAAAATAAGGGGCTCGTGGATGAGGGCTTGATTTAGTTCTTCTCTTTCTAGTTACTTGAGGTGTAAAGTTAGGCTGTTTATTCGAGACTTTTCTTGAACGTCACTCTAAGAACCACTTTTGCTGCATCCCATACATTTCGGTGTGTTCCATTTCCATTTTCATTTGTATTTTTTTATTTCTCTTTTGATTTCTTCTTCAACTCATTGGTTGTTCAGTAGCACATTATTAAAGCTCCACATGTTTGTGAATTTTCTAGTTTTCTTCATGTAATTAATTTCCAGTTTCATTCCATTGCGGCTGGAAAAGATGCATGATATGATATCAATCCTCTCAGATTTATTAAGACTTGTTTTGTGGCTATAACATATGATCTTTGAAAATGTCTCATATGCAGTGAAGAATGTGTATTCTGTTGCTTTTAGATGGAGTGTTCTGTAAACATCTGTTAGATCTATCTGGTCTAATGTGTCATTTAGGGCCGATGTTTTCTTATTGATTTTCGGTCTGATGATCTATTAATGTAAGTGGGATATTACAGTCCCCTGCTATTATCATATTTCTGTCTATTTCTTCCCTTAAGTCTGTTAATATTTGCTTTATATTTAGGCGCTTCTATGTTGGGTGCAGAAATATTTATAAATGTTATGTCTTCTTGTTGGATTACCCCTTCATCATGACTAACACCCTTCTTTGTCTCTTATTATAGTCTTTGTTTAAAAGTCTGTTTTGTCTGATGTGAACATAGCTACTGCCGTTTTCTTTTGGTTTCGTATGCCTGGAATATCCCTTTGCTTTCATTCTGCGTATGTCCTTATATCTAAAGCGAGTCTCTGGCAGACAGCATATGGATGGGTCTTGTTTTTTATTCATTCAGCCACTTTATGTTCTTCAGTTGGAGAATTTAGTTCATTTACACTTAAAGCGTGTTTTTCTGAGGTATTTTTTAAAAGTATCACATTAAATAATGTGATCTAGCAAGTGAGGATGATAATGTCATAATTTCATTGTGATGATCAGCATAAACTCTTTTGAGATATGTAGTTTCATATGTGACATGAAAATATCTGTGATTCTGTTTTCTAAAAACTCACATGTCCTATTAAAACTACTGTGCTCTGTTGTCTACAATCATAATCTAAGTAAATTCCAGTTGGAAATTAATGAAAAAAGATGGATTTGTCCCATATACGTTCACAGGTTTCCTAAGTTATGCCCATTGGAGGTCTGGGGACTCTAGTTCAGGGACCTTTGGATTAAGCATGTCAGTGTCCCAGATTTCAGTTTATCAACTTGGTCACTATGTAGCTGCAACAGTTGCAAGAGTTCCTCGGTTTGTCATATATCTCTCGAATTCATTAATCCTTTTGGCTTTCAAGCAGCCAGTTCCATACAGACATGCAGATGTTTAGTCTAGAATTAGAAAGATTTTTAGCAACCCTGGGAAAGGGGGTCAGTGGAGGGATTGTCTGGGTGACCCCCTTAGTTCCTCTGTCTGGAGCAGAGCTGTCCATCTCTAAGCATAAGGTCTTATTCCATCACACATGTTGGGTCCACCGGTTGGGGCATTCTTTGCTGCTTTTGTTTGGGTGAGAAAAACTCAGAAGCAATCTTTAGGTCAGGAGATCTGGTTAAATCTTTTCGTTTCTCTGGAATCACGTTTCCTCATCTGCAAAATGCTGGTGTCTGACTAAAACTGTGATTTCTAAACTGTGGAGCTGTGCAGAGCCTTAGGGCCTCTCCTTGCTCTCTAGGAGTGGGGAGAAGGTGGCTTGGTGGGTTCTGAGCTCCCCACCTGGGCTTCAGTCATTCACTTGTTTATATACTGGAACAATCCTATTCGAATAAAGGTGATAGATAGATAGATAGATAGATAGATAGATAGATAGATAGATAGATAGATAGACAGACAGACAGATGGATAGATACACATACATATATATGTATATATATGCTTAATATATAGCATATATATACTTAAAATTATTCAAATGGAATATATATATCCCCATATACTTTACATAAATTATATATATATGTAAAAAGTTTGAAAATTAATACACCGGATCAGCAATTTTCCAATGTTCTGGTCCCAGGACCGCTTTGCACTCTTAAAACTTATTGAGGATTCTAAGAGCTTTGTTTATGGTGTTATAACTACTGACATTTATCTTATTAAAAATTAAAATATGTATGTTTTCCAAAACAGAAATCAGTCAGAAGATATGCACTACTTTACATTTTTGCAAATCTCTTTGAAATGTGGCTTAATAGAAAAACTGAATTCTCACATCTGCTTCCACATTCAGTCTTTTGTGATAGGACATGTTATGTAGCTTCTGGAAACTCCACTGTATGCTCATGAAAGAGAAAGTAAGAAAAGCAAATATGAAAATAATTTTACCTCACAGTAAGAAAAGTAAGAAAAGCAAATATGAAAATAATTTTACCTCACAGTAAGAAAAGTAAGAAAAGCAAATATGAAAATAATTTTACCTCACAAACCCCCTGAAAGGTCACAGGCCCTCCCAGAGCACAATTGGTGGATCACTGCTCACAGGGACATACCTCTTTGTGGCTGCCTCATAGCAGCCCCTGCAAAGTGGACCTACACTTATCAGCCCTGGCCAGCTATTAGGGGAAAGGTTGGGTTCTTCTTGCCATACTCTTCCTTCTCCAGGTCATGTAACTTCATTTTATCTCTTTGTACCTGTGCCAAACTGAAAAAATAACAATCGAAACCCTTTCATATCTTAAGGAGAAAGATATTTATTCATTTTCTTATGAACAGCATCATTTTATAACATTAATTATCATAGGTACCTACAAAAACAAGGTCGTGTTGGCCTTAGCAGATATGGTCCGGGTGTCACCATTTCCTTCTTGTCATTGCAGCAATGTCATTGAGAGTTTTCTGTCTGGCCTTGGAGGGTGGTGCTCTGAAAGCTAAGGGTCATACATATTGTTGTCTTCTGACCCGATGATTCCAGCCATCTGCTCGCTTTGACCACGTTATGAGTTCTGCCGAAAGCTAACTCCACCACGTCTTCTTACTAATAAACCACTAGAGGATACAGGGTCATATGCTTGTCTCTTCCCTTCAGAATACCTCTGTTACTTTCTCATTGATCAACACAAGGATGTGACCCAATATCTTTCAGTTGCTGATTAGCAAGAAGGAATGGCAAAGTTAGCTATTTTCTGTACTTTAAGAATCAGGTTATAGCTGGGCTCCTCAGTCAGCATTATCATGTGAATGATGTCACAAATGAACACAGGATATGAGGAGTTAACAGCGAAGTATTACAGAAATAATAGAAAGAGCTTATGTAATAATAAATCTCCTATCTTGATCTTTTGCCAAGATGTCCTAATTTGAAATGAGATCCAGGTACATTTTCCCCTAACAAAGGCTCTCTTGTACTAGAGCAAAAGATAAGGTGGATGTGTCATTCTAGGAGGTCATAAAGGCAGAAAGCAAGTCTCTCCCTCTCTCCCCTCCCCTCTCCTCCATACCCCTTCCATCCCCTCCCATCTCCCCCCCTTTATCTCTCTGCATACTTGCCACACACCGAGCATTTGAAGCAAATATGCACTACTATGGGTACTATATTACTTATGGATCATAGGTGCCATCAAAAGATGGCATGCTGGCATATATTGCTATGTGTATATGTGTGTGTGTATGTGTACATATATATATACACACACATACACATATGTGTATATATATACATACGCATACATATGTGTGTGTGTGTATATATACACATACACACACACACATATATATATATTATCCTATATATACCTTCATATATTGCCTACGGGAATGTAAAATGTCGCCATCAGTTGGAAAACAGTTCTCCAGTTCTTCAAAAACTTAATGATAAAGTTACATACGATCAAGAAATTCCACTCCGAGGTATATCCCCAAGAGAATGAAGCTATGTGTCCACACAAAAGCTTTGTGCATGCATATTCATAGCAGCATTGTGCATAATAGCCCCATAGTAGAAGCTACCCAAATATATATCAACCGATGAGTGGATAAACATGATGTGATATATCAATGTAATGAACGTCATCCAGCCACAAAAAGGAATAAGAGTACCGACATCTGCAGGTGCCTGATACCTGCAACGACATGGATGAACTTTTAAATATTATGCCGAGTGGAAGAAGCCAGACACAAATGGCCATTTATGCGACATGTTCAGAATAGGCAAATCCATCAAGACAGGAAGTCTTTAGCAGTTTCGAGGATGGAGGCGAGGAGAAAGGGAAGTGACCACTAACGAATATATCTTCCTTTGGGGATGATGAAAACGTTCTGAAATTAGATCGTGACGATGGCTGCACAACTTCGTGAATACACTAAAAGCCATGGAATCGTACACTTTACAAGGGTGAATCATGGTTTGTGTATGACATTTCAGTTTTTTAAAACCCACATTTTTTCTTAG